AGATATCTGATAAGGGGTTAATATCCAAAATTTATAAAACACTCATGCAACTCAACACCAAAAAAACAAACAACCCAATTAAAAAATGGGCAGAGGATATGAAAAGACATTTCTCTAAAGAGGACATACAGATGGCCTACAGGCATATGAAAAAATACTCAACATCACTAATCATTAGAGAGATGCAAATGAAAACCACAATGAGATACCACTTCACTCTGGTCAGAAAGGCTATCATCAATAAATCAACAAACGACAAATGCTGGCGAGGTTGTGGGGAAAAGGGAGCCCTGGTGCACTGTTGGTGGGACTGCAGATTGGTGCAGCCACTATGGAAATCAGTATGGAGATATCTCAAAAAACTGGAAATGGAACTACCTTATGACCCAGCAATTCGACTCTTAGGTATTTAGCCAGAAAAACCCAAAATATTAATTCGAAAAAAACATATGCACCCCTATGTTCATTGCAGTGCTATTCACAATAGCCAAGACTTGGAAACAACTGAAATGCCCATCGGTAGACAACTGGATTAAGAAACTATGGTACATTTACACAATGGAATATTACTCAGCTATAAAGAAGAAGGAAATTGTACCATTTGCAAAATATGAATGGACCTAGAGAACATTATGCTAAGTGAAATAAGTCAGTCAGAGAAAGACAAATATCATATGATCTCACTTGTATGTGGAATCTAAAGAACTGAATAAATGAGAAATGTAAACAGAAATAGTCTCAGAAACACAGAGGAAAAATTGAGGGTTGCTAGTTGGGAGGGGGTGGGGATGAAGGAGAAGGGGAAGGGAGGAGACAATACAAATTGGTAACTACAATATAGCCTCAGGGGTAGAAAAAGACAGTCTGGGGAATATAATCAATAATGTTGTAAATATTTTTTAGGGGGCCAGATAGACTCATGTCTTGTTAGGAAGACCACTTCATAGTCGGTGTAGAGGCCTGTCCACCGCACTGTATTTCTGAAGCTGAGGTTGAATAATATTGTACGTCAACAATAATTATATATACATATATTCATGGGACGTGGAGTAGAGTGTGGGAATGGAGTCAATGGAATTGTAATAGGTAAGTATGATATCGAGGGTGGGAGGGCAGTGGATGGGAGAGGGGGGTTATTTTGTGAGGAGTGAAAAGGATAACTATTGCATTGTGTTGTACACTTGAAACATAATAATAATAAATAAATAAATAAATAAAACTTTAGGAGTAATAAAGTATTTCAAACCCCATTTGTGAAGATGTGAAAAGCATTCTTATGTTCAATAAGAAATTACTAAAACATTGTTAAAGCAGACTTTGTCTTTTTTTTTAATTAAAATTTATTGGGGTGACAATGGGTAGTAAAAAAAAAAATTTCCAGCTTGTATCCTACTAAAAGTATCTATTTTTAAGTTATACCTCACAGTGTACTTGTATTACCGTTGGTATCAAATATGCAATGTCAGAACAATGATTTCATGAATGCATATTTTGTGAACATACAAATTCAAATCTAGTTTTTTTTTCAAAAGAATCTAGTATTTAACAACATACCAATTTATCTTCTCTAGCACTTAATTATTGAAATACACCACTATTTTAAAAAATTCCGCATATTCTGAGCATGTGAAGACATTGTCCTAAGTAAAATATTTTCTCAAGCCTACCTCAGGTACTTAGCCAAACCGACTGGGAGCGGGTAAGTAGACCCGGGGAATTATTGCTCTTCCTCTGTTTACATTCCCTGACTTGTGTCTTCCGAAGAGGGGGAAGGATTGCCTTTTTTCTGAAACAGAAAAGAACTCAATGATGGGACGCTGTGTAAAGGAACTAGTAGAAAGCATTGAAACCAGTTAATCATATTGGCTTAAAAATGTTGATGTAAATTTATAAAATTGAAGGCAAATGGCAACATTATTGCTGAAATATACATAAATGACACATTATGCCTGACATTCTATCAATCATGATTGTTAAACCTTGTCTTTAAAAAATACACTAAAGTTTTTAACACCTGAGGATTTAAAATACTTATTAGTTTAAAATTATAGTAGACCAGAGCTCAGAGTCTACTCTTTTCTTATTTATCAAATGTCCTGAATTTTTTAAATGTCCTTAGTGTTCACCAACACTAAGCAACAAAAGAAAAAGGAAATAAAGTAGTAAGGTAGAGGCAGGGAGTAACAAATCTTAATGTGTGTGGGGATGAGAAAGCATTCTATACTCCTCTTTCCCCCCAAATAAGGGAGACCTCTGCACGCAGGACCCCTGCCATCTCCCATGTCTAGGTAGTCTAGATAATTAATAATGTAGCTACGCAGGAAATGGATACATTTTGGTGTCTACCTCTGTAGCTGAACTACATGCCTTTTAAAAAATGTTCTTTGGTCAACTCTGAAATTGCACATTCTATTCCAGGTTTCCACTAGACAGTCTCAATCCAGTTCTTTCAGTATCTATTTCTAACAAGTGGACGAGTCGTTCAGTTACCATGGACCTATCTTTTCTGTAAAAGAAAGGAAGAGGAGGCAGTTATTCATCTCAGTAAAACACATGTATTAGCTTAGGTGATAATTTTAATTTTACACATTTAGAACTGCAGATGTGCAAAGGCATTATCCACATTCAATCATGTGATTGTCAATCTATTTTATTGTAGGAAAAGGCTAAAATATAGAATTCTCTATTTGAGGTGAGAAATTGTGTTGAGTAGAACACTATTTTTCTTTATACCAACTAGCAGTTTGAAGATCTAGAGGTACACAATTTTAAAAGAAGCACTCAAGATTAAGGTGGTGATGGTGAAAATTGTATTTCTCTTCTAAATAAAAGAGACAATAGGTCCTCTTCTTAAACTCCAGAAACAGATGGAGTTGATCAAATACAGCTCTGAAGGAAGAACAAGATGCTACAGTTTAAGTAGCCATGGTTTTCTTTCTCTTCTTCCGTCAACCCCACCTCATCACCACTACTCCAAACAGTACTCCGTGCAGTTTCAGGGTTAATGGCCAAGAAGTTGGGGTAGTATCCCTACCCTGAAATCTATACAAAGAATAAATCCTGAAATTAACCACCCAGGGCCGGGGGTTACCTGTTAAAAATAGTTTCGTAGGTCTCAACTCACACCTACCGGATTTGAATCTGGGATCAAGTCCAAGAATGTGCATTTTGAATAAGCTATCCAATACTTAGGTGATAATTATAGGTGATTTCCGGGAACCCTGAAGTTTCAAAACCCCTGAAGTACGTATGAGGAGGAGCAAGGCAAACTGAATCCAAGTGTTTAAGGCAACAACTTAACTGAAAGCAGATATCAAATGGTATTGCTCAGCTGTTTCTTCAGATATTAAGTACGTATCTACTATCAGATACGAATGCTTGACATGGTACAGAGGTTGAGAGATTTTTTAAATGCCATGGTGATTGATTATAACTTGATTTACTATTAATAGATAACATCTTATTCTTCCCATTCTTGTAGAAAACTGTTTTTTAGTGCTTCTAGATATAATCGCATTTAACTCTGACAATATTCTATCAACCATAAAAAGACTGTGCCATAACCTATGAAGGTAACTCCTAAAGAGAAGCTGCAAAAAGATTTCAAGACAGAATAATAAAGGACAACACATGCTACAAGTCAGTGTATAACAAAACAAGAGCTCCTCAACGTATGCTCAGGGACCCTGCAGATTCCTCAGTCTGTGGGGAGGTGACGAGGCCTGGGTGCAACGAGCCCGAGGGCTTGTGGTGAGTGGTCTGTAGAATACCCTGATGTGCATACAAGTATTATTTTCTAAGAGTGTCAAGGAACCAAAGATTGGGAAGCACCAAGTTAGCAAAGTGCTGACAAGAGAATAAAGAAAAAACCAGGCTTAACTCCTTGCCATCTTATCGAGTGGCTTAGTTAGGTCACTAAACGAGGACCAGTTTGACTACTTTTAAGGCCTTCCCTATTTCTAAAATTCCGTAACTCCCCTTACATTTATGTTTCATAATGTAAAATCATACTCACCCGTCATTTAATTAAAAACTCTAAATTTGGTCAGTCCCTTTTTAAATATTTATCAAACACCTAATCTGTGCCAGGCATGTGAGAACCTGGGAAACACAAGTTTCCTAGTGTGGGATGAAATACATTTTATTGTGAATAAATAACATTTCATTGTGAATAATCTTGTGCCCCTTTAAGTGGTTAAATACTGAGTAGTGACCAAATAATGGAAATCTGCATATATAATGAAAAGCTTGCCTATGCATAATGAATAAATATGAACTGTAATTAGTTATAGCTTCCACCAATATGTAAAGCTTTCCTTTCCTTCTCTGTATCCTTTACTTGTTCTAAAAAAAAATTTACTTCATTTAAATTGACTAGGAAGTTGCATTTACAATCAAAATCAATTTCCAAAGTATGTTTATAAAAATAGTTTATTTTAAAGACTCTCAATAGAACTTCAACATCTTATTTTCAGATATACTGAGAAGATAATCAGTATGTTCTGCATATTTTAATCCATGATGAAAGTTGTTCCAGGTCTAATAATAAACCTAAATATATTGTTTAATTGGACGGGGATGGGAAAAGCATGGACTCAAAGTTTTAAATATTTCATAATTAGATTTTCCCTCTGCAAATTTAAATTTTCATATGGATACAATTTCACAAAGGTTACTTATATCAACTTACAACAAAAGGAAGTATTTACTATTATTGTACAATATTTTAGAAATCTAGCTCCATAGTCGATTAAAAAAAAAAACAAAAAAACCCTTCCCATATAATATAAAAAGTCCACATTTCTCTGAAAAGGCATACGTTCACCTAATAGTAAGATCCGAAATGAGAAGAATTGCTATCTCCAGA